TATAGTTAATTTGTTTCCCCATTAAAAAAACTTTGTAAGCCCCTTCTACCCAATACCAATCTCTCATTGCCTGTGTCACACATGTAACAAGAGATAAACTTAGCTGTTTAGTTATAATTGCCTTATTGATTTCCTCGCTTATTAAAGGCCCCCTCTAGTGACTTCATTACCATATTCAAATGTGTAATCTCCACTGAAAACAGCTCATCTAAGGAGTGATTATCTGCAGCGGTGGCAATCCCGAGCAAAATGGGATTTGCATGTGCAGCAGGGGAATCAGTGCAGCTGCGCCCGTTTCAATTAAGAAGAACCTGTTGTTACCCATTCTTCACACTGCAAACTTTTCATAACATTTCTGGTGACGTCAGTGTAGAGTAACTTTAATGGATTATGTTCTAATGTATTCATCCGGGGCATAGAGACGAAATAGATGTACTGTGTTGGTATTCTGCATTCAGCTAAAAGTGAGACAACATTTTGATAGATATATATGAATTAAAAGTACTACTTTCTGGTATGACTAACTCCCTTAACTGCAATCTCAAGAAAAACATGTTGGGCCTTACTTGTATGAAATTAACAGGATTTACAATCTAGTGGTTGGGGTATGTAATTGAATGAGGTGGTGAAGTGCCTCAATCTGCAGCACATATGTGTTCTTTTTAAGGCACTAGAGAGACATTAGCCCTCCTCAAAGGTTCAGTAAGTGCCCTACAAATTCAGGGTTACAAATAATCGATTCAATCAGAAAGTGGCTACAATCCCCCCTCTCGAGATACCATTTCATCCCGATCAAAGATTTAGAAATCCCCCTTCAACAAAACCTAACACCTCTTTAACCCTGGTTTATCTGGGGAGCTGTCAGCCTCCATATGAAACGCTGCTATTTCTCTACCTCTTGCTGAACATTGCAAGGCCACCAGACACAGATAGCTTATTTGGAGCTGCAGTTTAATGTCTAGGCCTTGATGTGGGGAGCTGTCAGCCAGCTGTTTTTTTCTTTGCTATTTTCAATAGAACATTTCTTAGCTCCTTCCTTAGCTCCCAAACATACACAGCACATATCCTGTGATGTTCTTAAGTATTATAGTGTGCATACAGTAATGTGGCTGATCAAAGGTAGCGAGGAGAGCTGATAATGAAATATGGCAGGAGAAAATTGCTTACAGGACAAGTTTGACTTTCCTAAATGCCAATTCATTTAGGAGTGAAGCAGTGCAGCCAGAGTTAATTCTCATTTAGATGATAATTCATTTTTTACCATGTATGATTAGTCTTGGAGAGAAGAAAGGCAGAATCTCCCAATCCTGCAGAGCAAGTTTGGCCCCTGAGAAATAAGCACTGCACGAAAAGTTCAGAAAATAAGCACAAATTCAGAATACATTACTCTTAAATAGAGAAAAAGAAACACAAAACAATACAGTTTTGCCTGAGAAATTTGCTATGGGTGAAATCCAGTCAAGTAGAACAGCCTGAGTTAAAATTGAGGTCAAGCTAGGGCAACTAAAGATGCTTTGCTGAACATGATGATGCCAGCATTTTATCCCTCATTGCTAAAACAACAAATGGAAAATCTACACCCACCAGAATATCTGTATTATAGTCAGATGCAACAAAGGTTCACCCAGCCTCATGAAGGTCAAAGGCTCCTATTGTTTTCCAAAGATCCATTAAGAATAACCTCCAGAGATGTGCCACTGCGCTGACAAACACAATCCATCATTTGGAATAAACAAACGTGGACTTGTTATGTATGTATTGGCCATGTAGTTAATTAAAATGACGCCCTGCAAAATCAGTTTTGGAGTCTGCCCTTCCTGACTTGAAAAAACTGGCGGTAAAATGAGAACCATTGGAATCCACGTTTATTGACATGGGTTCAAGGTGACGAAAAGGGCAATCTGCAAACCCTTAACAACCACTGAAGTCATTTCCCACTCGATATCCATAAAGTAAAACCAGTCGAAGAAGGGAGAAAATGTTTCAAGATGAGAAGTGAACCAAGCAACTCGGAGATTAATTTTAATGCCGAGCACTTCCCCGCTCTACAGTGTGCTATCTCCTTGTCCTTCAGAAACCTTTTATGCTCGAGAAATGTTCCTGTAACTTTTTCTTGCGCATGAAGCATGTCAGAACATCATTTTATCACAAGATTTTTCAGGCACCATCACAGATGTTTTTTTTAAGGCATGTCTCATTCATTTCCCATGTCTGTATCTTTCCAGGTGGTTCAGGGATTGGAGCAGCAGCCTTTGAGCCATGATTTTGCCACTACATCTACCAGGCTCCTGCAACCACCACGTGGCCTTTTCTGAAACATGAAATCCACCTCAGCCTGTGCTGTTGAGATATAGACCCTCCAGAAAAACGCGATTCTGCAGAATTTACCGCATAATCAGCAAAATGGCGCAGATTTTTAAAAGGCCGCATAATCCCCGCATTTTTCCACACAAAGTTGAGAAAAAAAAAGTTGACTCGTGTTGACGTCATCAGCTCGCGCATCACAGAATGTAAACAACACTGTATAGAGTGAACGTGTGGAGCTCACACGATAGAGAAAACACCAAGATGAAAAAATCTAATCCATCTCATTTACCGACTAACATTTCTACTAAAGACCGGGCAAAAAGTGGGGGGAAACTATTCTGCACCCCGTGGTATTATCTCTTTACTGTTGTATTATGTGTTGTTCATGTCTTTATGCTGAGGTACTCTTAGTGCTTATTGGTTTTTCTATCTTATATTGTAGTATCTGTATACCTTATGTTAGTGATGTTATAGTTATTGTGTGTGTGTATGTTTCTAGTATGGTCTTGTATGTCGGACTGACGCAACGGTAGACCTTGCTGTCTAATTCACATCACTCGAGTGCATTAATCAACATATCCGCTACACTCATTACGTCCGCGTTACATTAACCACTCCCCCTACCATACACTCAACTCGCCTGACCCTCTACACGCTCACGATCTGTTCCTTACAAAGTTCGTCATCGTCGCGACCTTCGTTTTAGGTACCACTTTACTCCCGCATTACTACTACAAATCACGGTAATAGTCACAAACCCTGCGTCCGCACAATCAGCTCACACTCTTATAAACGTTCCCAAGCGCTTTTTTCATTAGGTATAACTTTATTAATACGGTAGACCCTGTCGCGTTTTTGTGTAAAACTAATTTTCTTCATCCTGCCGTGTACCTAGGCATGAATACTCGATGTGAAAGACATTTTTGGGTATGAAGTTTTCGTTGGGCAATTGTCAAAACTTGGAAGAGAGAAGGAGAAGTAAAGTTGAGAAAATAAAGTGGTGCGCCACATAGGGTAAAGCTCTTAGTGAGAGAACTCAGAGAAAAAGTTTGCCTCTTGACGAGTTCATTCCAAGTGTATTGCGTATTTTGGTTTTGTTATTTTGTGCTTGTTTTTCCTGTAGAATGTGTAGCTAATCGTACTAAGTGTTAACATGCGATGTGATGAGGTGCTAGTTTGTCCATGGGTTGTTCGATAGCTAACTCATCGTACGGGTTGGCTCGAAGAGATTTTTGTAACTCACGTGGTTAACGGCCGGTCAAGAGTAGATGCGGGCGTCACGCGCGAAGCAGGTTGAACACAAACGGTTACTTGTGATGTGATTTGAAAAAAGTTTGCCGCGGCCACTCTGGAGTTTTTCGACCAGTCGACAGTTCAAGAGGGACGTTTCTTGTTTCGCGTACCTTTGAAATGAAAAGTATGACGAACGTACGTACTATTGAGTCACGGCTTGCCCTGTCCTTCCTCCTACCCTCGAGTCGTCTCCGAGCGAAAACTGCCATCTTCTACCCGACTACAGCCAAGCGAGCCGAGGACGGAGGGATTGCTCTCGGGGCGTCGCGCGATTCCGGATTGCCGTTACGAAGTCCACCTCGTAGCTAAATCGGATGTGTTCTGAAGTTATGTGCTCCTAGTGGAACTTCCCCAGTTCTAATACTTTATCCACGTTTCTGGGACTGTGATGTATCCACTTCATCGAGATAGGATCTGGGAGTCTTTTCTGCGCAGGCGTTTTTAGTGTACTAATAGTGCTATGTTGTACGCGCCGCCCGCAAAATAACAGGAAAATACGCCACTTTGGACGCGCTCCCGTGGGAAGCGCTTGTGATACGCCTTTCAGACGCTGGTATAGGGAGTTTTACGCCCCCTTTTCTTATTGGTTAGAAAAGAAATTTATACCCGACGAGAATTAAATACAGAGAGGTGTGCGGTTGGGACGGTGTTTGCAATTTGGGGAAATGATGTGAGTTAATTGTGTAAGTTGCCGAATATAAATAACGCGTGAACCCGAAGAAATTGAGGCGTGTGTGTGGGCGTGTCGTGCTGGGGGGTGTGTGTGTGTGCCCGGGCCGCGAGACCGTGTGTGTGCTCGTGTGTGTGAAGAGGCGCGAGTAAGAAAGAAAGTAAATGAGATAGCAATAGACTGGTCGAAGTTAGAACATCCGATGAGTGAAGCAAAGACATGCGGGAGTCTTTCCCCAAACCTCCAACTACGAGCCACTTGCTAACAAACTCGAAGAAGCAGGCGTCGTCTCTGTCCGTAAAAGCTACAAACCTTACCTTAGTTTCACCGCAGGAGCAGCTAAAAGAGAATACGAGGTTNGTAACTAAAGTGAACTTATTGTGAGCTAATTATCAATTGAAAATAAACTCATAATCAACTCAAATTCAAACTCGACAGGTTTATTGTGCTCCCTTCCAACTTGTGTTGGAAGGGAGCACAATAAACCTGTCGAGTTTGAATTTGAGTTGATTATGAGTTTATTTTCAATTGATAATTAGCTCACAATAAGTTCACTTTAGTTACTCACACAACTTGACACAAGTCCGGACTTATAAGTCCGGACCTGAACCTGAACCTCTGGACTTGAGTCCGGACCTGAACCTGAATGTGAGTCCAGGTACACAGCACTAGTGCCAGTGCATAACCACCATGTGAAACTTAAAGCATGTTCTCTGCTTCTCTTCCTCAGGTGGACCCTTTGAGTTAGTCAGGCAGGGGGTCTCACGGATTGCCCATAGTGCCCTCTGTCTCAACAAGACACCCTCCGACTATGACATCCTGCTGCCCCCACAAGGTAGCCAACCCCAACTGCCCTCGCCCAGCCAAAGTGCCCTTTCTCCGTCGTGTCTGAGCAGTCGACCCTGTGTTTTGTTACACCTCTCCAACTGTAAAATGTCACTCTTGTTACGTAACAATCCCCAGTGTCACACATGACCTATTGAGCTCATCCAATGATTCTACGTGGTGAACGTCATATCTCAGGAATGCCTTGCAGGAATTACTTCCAATATGGCAGTAAGGTCCACTTGGACACAAAGATGAACTGATTAGATTTTGGGGTCAAAAGTAACTGTGACCTCAAAGAGCAACACAAAAATGTACTTGCTTATCATGCGATTTTACACAAATGTCTAATAAGATAAAATGATGAAGTGATGGCATGTTTGACTGATATTGAGGTAGTCAACTCCTCGGCCGTGTACATTTAATTACATTTTCCATGGAATGATGGAATCTTCTTTTCAATCTGTTCCGCTGCAACCTCGCCCTATTGGAGTTGGAATGGATATACAGTACATTCTTACTGTTATGCTGTAACCAAACCGAAAAATTAAGTTTATAAAACAGTTGTCTGTTTACTCATTATTGGCATATGTTTGATGTCAGCATCACCTCTGGGTGTTGTTCACCCACAGCACTCTCTTGTCTCTATGAACCTGAAACACATCCTCTCTGAGAGACTTTATTTCTCTCTGTGTTTGCTGTTGTGTTTCAGCATTAGAAGACCCCTTCAACAGCCACCGTCCATCCCAGACCCCCCCTCCTCCACCAGCCCGACATAGCTTCACCGACCTCCCATCCTCTACATCCTCATTCTACAACTTCTCCACCTCCGCCCCCTCTGCTGGAGCACAACCCCCCCGGCCCTCCTCTGGACATGATCACCTGCTATTAACCCCCGGTGAGCTGGAAAACTTGTGACGGTTCATTTGGATTTAAGATGTGTAAAATAACAATCTGGCGCATGTCCGTGTGTTATGCTAACCCTACATTTTTCACACAGCAAAACTTCCAGTTATAAACAGGCGTGTTTACCTGAGTGTCTCTGTGTGGTGTGTGTTGTAGACACAGTGTTGGACATGCTGAGCAGTGCTGCTCCTCTGCCCCCCCTCAGACGACACACAGATCATGTGACAGGCTCCAGAGGCTTCCTGGAGTACGACCATCTGCCCGGCACTCAGGGTAGTTACCTCTCAGCACATGACCACATGAGGAAATGCACACACACGGCTTCAAAAGCACATGCCCACGTCTTGATGAGTTCACTTTCACAAAATCAAACTTATTCTTTTCCATATTCCAAAATCACATCAAACCTTGGACTTCAAAGAATTAAAGTTCTGGAAGTTTGAGTCTTTGAAAGTGTAATTGTGCAATTCAAGGTAGAAATACTTTTTGGTAGCAAAGTAAGCTCTCTTAAAGTCTCATCGATGCATGAAGGAAGTCTGATTTGTTGAGACATGCAAAGTTTGTCCAAACTTTTACTTCAAAATCCGTTCATTGTGTTTTACTTTGTACTTTTATTTTCCAAAATGTCCCCTGTTTTTCCCGTGTCCCGGCTCTGTGAGGAACAGGACATCAAACTCATGTTTGGAGCGAAAAGCTCAATATCTGCTTTCTAGCCATGCAGCACATTGATTACTTAATATTAAAGGTCTGTACTCAGAAGGTTTTGGAGATGTCCTCTCCTCTACTACCTAACTATAAACTTGTCCTTTACCACTTACAACACTCTCAGGTTTCTGCCTCTGTTTCCGATGACATGATTTCTCTCTCTCTCTCTCTCTCTCTCTCTCTCTCTATCTAAGTACTGCTGGACTGTTTGCAGGCCCCTGCCAGGCCCCCCAAGCCCCTGCCCAGGAAGATCCCTCCATGCATTCAGCCAGGCAAACCCCCCAGCTTGGAGTCAGAGAACGTCGACGCCAAAATTGCCAAGCTGATGGGAGAGGGTTACTCCTTTGAGGATGTGAAGCGGGCGCTGACGATCGCTCAGTACAAAGTGGACGTGGCCCGAAACATTCTTCGAGAGTTCGCCTTGGTGCCCCCAAGGCTGAACCTCTAGCCCCAAACAGCTGTGCCTGGGGACGGACTGACAGAAATGGGCTTTTTTATTCTGCTTGGCCTGACACTGACTGAGGAGAGACATGCCTTTTGTTGCCAAACAGAGAGATCCCTCGAAACAAAGTGGCCTAAACCAAATCACAGTAGAACACAGAGAATGAAAAAGGGAGATTAGACCGAAGCAGGCTGATGAGCCAGCGAGAAGTGGATCTGGTTCAGAGGCTCCTGTTAGTCTCCAGGCCGGACTCTGGTTCAGAGGCTCCTGTTAGTCTCCCGGCTGGACTCTGGTTCAGAGGCTCCTGTTAGTCTCCAGGCCGGACTCTGGTTCAGAGGCTCCTGTTAGTCTCCAGGCCGGACTCTGGTTCAGAGGCTCCTGTTAGTCTCCAGGCTGGACTCTGTGCCTGGTTTAAGCCCTGGTCCTGCTGCTGCTCTTCCTATGACACCTTCCACCCTCTACATTTAGTTTGTGGGGCCTTTCAAAAGAACACCCCCACTCTGTTAAGCGTACAGCACGTGCAGTACATGCACAGACAATTTTATTTATAACCAGTAGGGGGAGACAGAGTCCACCGTTTCTCTCTCTCTCTTGTTCTCTCCTCTCTTCATGTCTGGGTCTGGCTCACTTGTAGTCCTTGAACCAGCTGGCGAGTCAGGAGCAGTTCTGTGGAGCTAGAGGTGGCCTTACTGATTCCCTGGATCCACCTAGATCTGGATCAAACTCGTGTTAGTTATTTGGACCAGAAGCCGGGGAAGAAGAAGGCTGGAAGGCTTTTGGGATGGTTGCCTGCTTCTATTCTGTTCCTAGACCAGGGGATTTCACTACTTCAGTGAGCCTATGAATGAATTGTTCTGTCAGTGAGCTCCTCTCAGGCCCTTTGCCAAGTGATTAGAGGGTGGGAAATGTCTAATGCTTGCTTTTCTTTAAATTGCTCTGGGACAAAAGCTAAGACTCCTGTGCCTAGATTGTAGCTGAAGCATTTACATGAGAGGAGCGGACCGGATCAGCTCAAAGAGTCAGTCACACATCAGCCTGAACAGACCAAACATTCCATGAGCCCCCCCCCTTACTGCATGTTACCCAGGGAGGAGTACAATGCCCTCTTGTCTCCCTAATGACTACAATATGCCTCACTAATGTATATATTGGATTTCTTCAAATGCAAAAAACATATTATTTCTCCTTCCTGTTGAGAATAGGATGTGAGATGTTGTCCATAAAGCTGCTCTGTTTACCCAGCTGTTCATTTCAGACCAAGAAAAGATAACTCCCGTTTATAATTTGGAGCTTTATGTTATTGTTTTGATCTTTGGTTGTGCTAACATTGTATTCACCAAATGAAATGTTGAGTTCTGGAATGCAGAACACATTGATATTGTTACATACATACATGAGGACAATGTAGTGTTTTCTCTCATGTCATACAAATGGTCCTGTTTCTCTTTAGTTTGATGTTTTTTAAGCAGGGTTGATGGGTTTCCAGATCTCAGCATTTTGCAGGGTATGATGTTAAAATTGCTACATGCAGATTTTGAAATATGTTGACTGATGATCTCTTGACTCTTGGCAGTATTTGCTTACACAGTATAACAGTGCTGACTCCCTCACTGAACAGCTTTAACAACCTGATGTCCTGTCAGGGAAACATGGGGCAAACAGAAATACTCACCAGAGGGTGGATACATTCTGTGTCAGTAGGACACGGTTCTAACAGAGACATCCTCAGCAATGTGGATCAGAATGTAGTAACTCTGCCACTGACAGGCATGATGCATCAGGCTGGGCTGTGTGTTTCTGAACAAATAAGAGCCCCCCCGCCTTACTGCCTTTACTACCCAGGGAGGAGGCCCAATAAACACAGCGATGATCAGTATTTATTCATTTCCACCCCTCATTTTTCTTCAGCTGTGTTGGCTGTCAAATGAACTTGAGGTGATGTTTTGTAGTTTCTCTAAAATTATAACTGAACTCAATCTCCTGGGAGAGGCGCAGTGTTTCTGCTCAAAGATTTCAAAATATGGCTGCCGACTTCGACTGCTTTACATCACATCTGTCCTGATGTGAGAATGTGAAACCAAACCTGAGTCCACCATCTTCACAGGTGTCTCATGATCTTAAAAATGATCTTAACCCGGATTTTAAACATTGTGAGTTGATAAGTGTGTTACCTTAACCACCAGATTAACAAACAGTAGTGTGAATATAATCACAGTGATTATGGCTGTCTGTGCTCATCACTGTGAATATAAATATGCAAATTGAAATAAAAGACCCGTCAGTGAATGTGCTAGGCAATTGTGCTAAGCAATTAAAAAGGCGGGAAACCTGTATTTATTTTTTTCATTTATTATAATAGCCATCTTGTCAATGTAAGAGAACACAGACATATCCACCGCCCCCGTCTTTCCATAGGGAGGATGTTTCTGCCCCAATGCCATCTGTACTCATCCTTTTTGATCCGCACCATAAAGGGGAACACCACTACACATTCAAATATCCACAGGATAATATACGGGCCTAAAACAGTGCATAGAGAATGACTGATGAGCATTTTTATGCAATGAGGACATTTAAGAATTAAGTCCCACAATTAACAGTGTTGCTAACACTGAAGCAGAAACATTGTTAATGCTGCAGGTTGGACTGAGGGTGTCCCGAACACACATTCACATACTATATTCAGTGGCATTCCCCTTTCCCTCCGGAGTTCATTCTTGCACTGTGTTTTTTACTTTGTTTTAATAAATCACTTTTTTACTTAGCTTTAATAAAGCAGATTATAGTATGCGTCTAAGGATTCAGACTTTATTTTTTTTATTTTAGAGTTTGATGGATATTTGTTCAAAACACAGAACACATGACACCTCCAAACTCGCTCAGTGAGCTGACTGCTGTCTTAAAATCAGACCATATCCAGGCTTGGGGAGTAATTCATGTGACAGCATTACATCATCAGGATACAAAACAAGGTGTATTCCCTTACAGTTAATTAATAAAAGACATAATCAGATTTCTTACATTTATAAAAAATGGGGATTACTAGTAGGATTACAATGTACATTTTCAAATACACTTGCTTTGTTGGTCAGTAGTTTTATAGGTTTATAGTTTAATATAATCTACCGCTAACATACTACCACTGCTAAAAATGGGTTTGATATGTTGGCACCTTGGCTTGTTTTGTTTGATCAGAGCATCAGTTATAGGATTTGTTCCACAACACGCTATAAACTTATGCAAATGCCTTGGACAGTATTTTGGGATCGGTTTTCCTTGACGTTTTCAGTTGTCTCTGAAACCTGTTCAGGGGAGTCATGGCAGTTAGATGTCTGAGTGAAGGGAAGTCCAAACGTTCTCCTCAGACTCACCATGGACCCAGTGATATGTAATACTGGATTACCATTGGCATTACAAATGTGACAGGATGAATCCTTTTCTATGCAAATTAAATACCTCATTAAAAATATGAGATGCAGCTCACTGCCATGTACATTATAATGTAAATATGGACTTGTGTTTTTTTTTTACAAATTATCAAATACACGTGACGACATTCATTTTGTTTAAAAATGTACACTTTATTGTCAACAACAGTACAAAAACAAAGTGTGTATTTACAACTCTACTATGGCCTCCTGATCGTCCCATCTTTGGTTTCACTGCTGACCTGATTATTTGAAAAGCATAAAAAAGCATGAAAATAGAGGTGGTACTACTACTTCTGCTTTCATTTTGCCAGGCATCTTTACGCTGCCCATTTTGAAGGTGTGGGGAAATTGGTAATGTTGACATACTGTTAAAAAGAGAATGGAATGTCATCTCTTTGCTTCAGATTGTAAAACTGGCAACGAGACATTTCAATCAAATCGATCGGAGCATGGTTCCTTCCAACATCAAGGGTTTAATGATCAGGCAATCAGCTCTTCAGAACTGTGTGTCTGATGTATGGAGAAGCATTTTCATACCTTGGCTTTTATTGGTGTACAATAAGCCTGGTTGTTAGAATGAGCCCCACTTATCGGGTCCTCTTCCACAGAATCCACCATGTTATAGCGCACGTTTCTACAGAAGCCCTGAACGAAAAAACAAACTTCACATGTCTTGTTTACCAAGGGAGGGGGGGTGAAAGGGGATTCAGCTGCGATCTGCACCCTGATCACTAGATGTCCCTCATCCTGGACCCTGGTCCTTTGAAATACCGGTACTTTCTTGCCAGGTGCTGAAAATGCAGTCTAAAAACACTGTTCAATATGTCGAGTCAAACATATTATTAATCCACTCACACGAGAAATATGAACAAATGAAAAAGTTAAGGCTTCTTTTGTCAGACCAATTTAAATCACACATATGTTTATGTATTCATTAGCTAAGCAACTAAGAACTGAACTATAAGTGTCAACAAAGTTTAACATTTCTGTTATCAACCCTTTGTCCCTGGCAGGACACTGGGTGTTGCATTGTGGGATGTACCATAGCAGAATGATGTAAACCCAGAATACTACCTCATCTAGTCTGACAATCTCCACCACAGTCTTCAGTTGTCTCTCACACCACAGAGATAAACATGACACAGCAATATTATCAACAGTAATAATGACACAGCAGAGAATGAGCACAGATGCTGTATAACCATATTCAGTACCGCTTCAACACTTGATGAGGCCTTCACGCAGGCTTAACATGTTTTACTTGAAGCTGCAGTAACCAGGAAAGGTTGCACACAGAATATAAATACAAAAATACACAAACAGATTCTGACCTGGCACAAAGCAAAGAGAAGAGAAACAGTGTTAAGGAGCTGAAGAGACAATCAAGTGTTTTAAAGTCAACCACAGAGGAACAAAGCCATTAGCATGAACCTTAAAACAAAAGACTGGAAAAACATAAAGCAATATGAAGTGTGAGGACTTTTGCCTTTTCAAAGTATTTGCAACAGAACATAATTCTAAATGTATCTTGAGACTTCAAAATGTGGAGGGGGGGTACTGTAATTCACCAAAAAGAAGAAATTAGTGTGTCATAACGCTCAATTGTTTTATGTCCAATTTGAATCTTTACAAAGATGAAGCATTCATAGTACATCCAATTTAATATCCTGACTTTAACTAGGACGTGTTCTGTTAAGGACAGACGACCCATGTGCCACAGTTTGAGGAGCAGAGAACATGTGGAGCTTTTCCTTAAGTCTGAGGGCAGTAAAGTGAGTTTACACACGGCGCACACGCAAGTAAAAACTAAGAAAAAACATTAGCATGCTCAGACAAGGATATATATATATATATAATATTCAAAATGTGAGTTTTTACATTCTTTGAGGGATTTAAAAAAGAAACAAACAATCAAAATCCTGAAGGAAGAACTGAGCAGAACATGGAGCATTCACCATGAACACTAAAGAACAGTAACTGAGCAGCTTCAGTGCACACAGGAACAGTGGGGGGGGGAGAGTCTGGTCCTTACTGTTGAACAGCTGCTTCAACTGCTTCTGCCCCACACACAGAGGAATCATTATCATTTCAATAATGTAGCCTAAAGTTTAACATATAATTTCCAGAACAAAAACACTTTTACATTTGCATTCTAAAAGGATAATTATTAGTTAATAAATCATATATCTAAATTGTACAAGATTTGGTCATCAGTCTAATTAATTACGGAACCTTGTGCTCACTAAAGTAATCTCTGAGCCCACTTTAACAATAATTGAAATGTAATATACAGTAATACAGAACCAGGCAAGAGCTTCATAAATCTGTTTTCATGCGTCCACAAAGCATTCTGCTTCTGACCCTTTGGATAAGAAGTGCACCTTAAATATTGACAATAACAGAGGAAATGACTTTATCATAAACCTTTGTTTTCTATTCCCAATAAGTTTGATTATACAGTTGTATATCTTTGGAGTATCTGCGTACTGAGTACTTCAATGAATGATGGCTAGACCTAAAAGCAGATACTGAATAGTGAATGATAAATAATAAGTGAAATTATACTTTACTTTTAATTTCACGTGTAGCTCACTGTTACATGGACACTGAAAGTGTTCTCACCTCTCAGCCCTGCAGTTCAAACCGTGGGATGGTTCTCCTCCAGCTTCTTGCTCTCCTCTGATGTTCCCACCTCCTTCTCACCAGTTTTCCAGCTTCCTTGTCTGAGTGCAGAATAACAGAACTGTGAAGCAGAAGAACCTCTGCCACAGAATCACCTTCTGACCATCTCCAGACCTGACCCCCCCGCAGTCTGCAGCCTCAGCTTATTCATATTCACATTCTGGATTTGTCTTCGGGACTCACGAGGAGAAACACTTTTTGGTTGTACATGTTTGTGTGTTTCTCTACCTGGAGTTCTTCATGTAGATCCAGTAGACAAGTCCCACCACAGCAGCAGCTATGAGGAGCCCTGCCACCCCCCCCACTATGAGCTTGGACTGGTCCTCCGATTCCTCCTTAGAGCCTGACAACAGACGAGAACTCTGTGAGGACAGGCACACATACTCACACACAGACATATTCTCACACACACACACACACACACACACACACACACACACACACACACACACTATGCAAGCATTTAGCATGCGCTACATTATGAGGGAGACAAAATCCCTCCCCCTTTTTAACTGGCCTCTGCTGTTTAGGGGCGGCAGTGGTTCAGTCTGCAGGGACTTGGACTGTGTCTTGTCTTAAACAAGGCTTTTATACAAAGGTGTGTAGAAAACGAGAGGGCTATCATCATTAGCTGTGTCAGCTGTCAATCAACAGAGGAATGTATTAACTTATGGGCAGAACACGCAGTGTGTGGGGGGCTGCATCTTATGCGCAAATGCGACACAATTATGCGTGCCACAGTTTCCCCCGCAGCGAGGCTAATTTGTTATGTTAATTTCATTCAAAACAAATATATTTAATTCCTTCACTTGTATAGTTTGTGCAAACAATTAAACCAAAGTAAAGCATTGTTATTAATATTTATAAGCTTATAGTTTCATAGAAATGTTTATTCTTAATGGTTAGATAGAAATTCTATAAACATCTAATCTAGCTCTTAGCAACGCAGTGACATGTCTCGCGAAAACTTCCTATTTGTCCCACATGTGGCTTGTTGGCACCTGGTCACCCTACCTGGAGCCTCTCAAAATGCATGTGTATGCGTGCATATGACTGTGTGTGTTGTATCTGTACAAATGCATGTGCTTGTATAAATTGCGGGAAAACTGAATTTCAACTAGAAAATGCATTTCCTGCAGAAAATGTGTGCGAATGCTGTAAACTGTGAACATTTATGGCTGAATTTAGCTGAAAATGCAGAATAAGCTGAATATGTTATTAGCTGAATGGTAGCTGCTTTTAGCTACAAAAATGCAGAAAAAGCTGAATATGTTATTAGCTGAATGGTAGCTGCTTTTAGCTACAAAAATGCAGAAAAAGCTGAATATGTTATTAGCTGAATGGTAGCTGCTTTTAGCAACAAAAATGCAGAAAAAGCTGAATATGCACATTTTTTAACTAACTTGATGGTGAATGATCTGTCGCCATGCCAACGGCATTTGATGACATCCCATAATACGCTTAGATGTGTTGATGGCTGCATCGTTACCAAACCTGTGAAGTTTTGGGCCATTTCGAGCATTTTCACTGAAGTTATGAGAAAACCGTGTTTCATGGTGAGCATTGTGTTGCCATGGCAACAGCATTTGAAGAAATCTCAAAACGTTCTGGTCGATGTCTTCACGGCTGGACTGTTAGCACACATGTGAAGTTTGAGCACTTTTTGAACATTTTCATAGGAGTTATACATTACATTAGGAGGTTACATTACTCTCTCTCTTCTCTTGATCACCTTCTCTCTCTTCTCTTGAATGCCCTCTCTCTTCTCTTGATCGCCCTCTCTCTCCTCTCTCTCTTTCTTCTCTTGATCGCCCTCTCTCTCTTCTCTTGATCGCCCTCTCTGTCTTCTCTTGATCATTCATCCTCATCGGTGTGTGTCTGTGTGTGAGAGAGAGAGTGTGTGTGTGTGTGTGTGTGTGTGTGTGTGTGTGTGTGTGTGTGTGTGTGTGTGTGTGTGAGTGAGTGAGAGTCCCCTCCCCAATCTGATCAATGATGACATGTATAGCCGCATGTCATCATTTCAGCGCTGGTTGTCTTGGTGGTGCCCAGCAAACAATGTGGGCTTCGTAAATAATTGGACAGCCTTCTGGGGAAAACCTGGTCTGATTAAGAGAGACGGCATTCATCCTACTTTGGAAGGTGCAAATCTCATTTNGGAGTGAGAAAACGGCCGGAGGTCGAAAAGGACGACCTTGGGCGGCGAATTTCCACCCCCTAGGCCGCCTGCGCCGCCGTATCTCGGGTATCCTCAATTTCACAACCGGCAATCGACATTTTTAGCGTATCTAAGTCCGCCGTGCGCAATATATTTCGGCGTCGCAGCTTTTTATCCCTTTTTCGCGGCCGAATATCAACGCTTTTTAATGCCCATTAGTTTTGTTACTAAACAGAGTAATGGTTGTGTGTACCGGTTGTCGTGATGGTTTGTTGTAGCGGTGCTACAAGGGTTTGACCGTGACGTACGTTCCATTTTTTACTATGCGCCGTAAAGCTTCAAATACGAGTCACTGTTCACTATGGACGGAATTTCGGACCCGAACCACCGACATCTCAGGGTCATTACAACACTATTTAACTACTTTGTTACGCGTCACCCGGAAAAGTATTACTGAATTGTTTACCTGTAAGTCGGGTTCGCAATTTACTGTCGCCTAATTAGAGAAATCTTTATTATCAGCCGATTACCTTATAAACTTAGGAGAACCCTCGTGTCGGGGTCGAACCCTTGCCTTTGGCAGACACTTTGTAAATGAAGGGCTCTCACGTCACTTGCGATTGTTGTGGCTAATTTTTTTTCAAAGTCTCACAAATTCTTTCAAAGTGAACGAAACAACGTCAGGTAAAACCACAGACGCCGTTTTTATAAATAGTTTACACGCGAACAAACACACTTGGAGTCTTAACGGAACTAAAGAAGGTCTTCACTTCTACCCATCTCGGTTCCATTTTCGTCAAACTTATGTGTGAAAAATATATTGTCGACCACGCACCCGTGTAGAGTCACCAACTCTAGAACCGTCACGAACGTTTCCGTCTGTAACATAATAAAAAAATTTGTCTGTTGACTTTAATTACATATGATAGACCCCCGTTTAATTTTCGAAATATTTCCATCACCGGGTTAACGACTGACCAACTTCGACCGTGAAAGCAGTATTTGTTTAGATTTACGGTAAAAGAAAGTTGTGCGTTTTGATGCAAACTGCCACAGGACCTTTTTGAAGAATGAAACCTGCTGTTTTTAGAAACTACATGACCACGGTCGAGAATACTCGTATAGAGTCTCTTAACGTTTTCCAATATCCCATTTGAGAGAAAATTTACTAGTATTACCACACAAACTCACCGGAAGAGACTTCGAGTACGAAACTAGAATAATTCGAACGTAGAAAAAAACTTAAGAATAAAATTACGTAAAAAAAAACCTATTTGAATTTTATTTGGGCGTAGGTTAAAGAAACGAAACTTTAAAAATGGAAGTTATACTTAGAAGTCGTGCTGGTACCGGTTTAGGTGTAAGAAACTTTTTTTGGAAAGGTTCCTCGTTTAAACATCTCTTACAGTTAGGCTTAATGTACAAACCCAGTATCCTTTTGTTGGATCTTTCATGTAAAAAAAAGTTTTAAAGCGAGTAGTCATTGTATGAATGTCGTGTAGACGGTTAATACGAATTTCTTTTTCGGTGTTAAAAGTGATTGGAGAAGAAAGTAAATGTGTGCTTTTGACAAAGCGTTTGTGTTCCTTAATAACTTGTAATATATTTAAAAGCTCCCCCGTGTGTGTTGAGATACCTTTTCGTCTGTGTGGGTGTGGGTTCCTGTAGTGTATTTGTATAATATCTGATAATATTTATTTTAAGGAATAATATAATACGATGCTTCAAATTTTATTATAAAATTTATATTATTTATAAATATTTATATTCTAATTTTATTATAATATATGTATATTATATATTGTAATGATTGGGTGTTTTGTTGTTGCTTATACGTTATTTACTTATTTGTTAGTATCTGTTTGGGGGGGGGGGTCTATTAGATTGTGTTTTGTTTGTAAAAGCGTTTGAATTTATTTTAATACGGTATATATATTTATGTTAATATATAATTTCTTAATATATAAGGAATAATATTATTATTAAAAAAAATGTGTGTTGACATTTTTAAAAATACTATCGCACAAATTGAGTCTAATTAATTGTCCCTTTTAATTGGTCTAAAAAAAATAATATATAAATATTTTCCTATTTTTATTAATATATATATTAATATATCTGTGGTGTGTGTGTGCCCTTATATATAATATAATATCTGTATTAGGGTATTCTTAATATAATAAAATTACTTTCCTTATGGTATAAACGGTGTGTGTGGACCTCTATAATATGTGTGTTGTATATAAATAAATATAAAATTTAAAATAATGTGGGTGTATGTGTGTGTCTGGTGTCTTCCCATAATATAAATATAAATTGTAATATGTATATATGTGGTATTTCGTTGTTAAGAAAACGGAGTGCGGACTTACCGTTGTGATGAGCAGTGAAAATTCTGAGTAAATAGGATTTCGAAAAATTTCCCCAAAAAAACCGTTAATCACCGAATTACAACTTTCACGAAGGTTGGGGTTTTGCGAGAATTGGTAATTTTTTTCCACTTTGGTTTGATTGTTCGGTTCCTTTCCTTAGGGCAATGTGTAGAGGTAAAGAAAAAGTAAAAGTAAAGAGTATCTGAAAGACAAAACGAAAAAATCGCATATTGTTTAACACTGAAAAAAGTGAAAAAATGTCGGAAGGTTCGTTGAGAGAGAGAGCATCCCAGAAACGAAGGTTAAGTAGAAAAAATGGAAGTAAAAAAATAAAGTGTCTTTTACTAAGGCTTTTGAACTGAAACTCTTCGTTGCACGGTGCGATTCAAGGTCCTTTGCGCCAATAAAGTCGTACGTCGGACGGTGTCCCGACTTTTTGGTTTCACCACTGGTTAATTGAATCTAACAGAAGAGTGATTGCCTTTATGAAATAAAGATCAAGAAAGAAGGTTGGAAAGGATCGAAAAAATTGTAAAAAACCCAATTCAAAGACACGAAAGTTCTTATGACGTTGAAAGGCCAGGTCTTGACCCCCGCTATAGTAATACAAAATGGGAGCGGAGCAATAAAAAAAAATAAGTCCTATTAAATAAATTTATTTAGTAAGGTTATTGTAAACGTGGATTTGCCCGGTTTTCCAAAAAACGAAACCAAATTTTTTTCCGGTCAGGGAAGGAAAAAAGGGGTTTACAATTGGTCTCGAAAAGCGGGCTACCGTCCTTCTTGTTGAATGGTATAAAAAACTGCTCGGACTTCCGAAATTTCTTTTACTTAGAAAATTTACAGAAATTAAAAGAATAAGAGGCTATAAGTGAAAGATTCAAACACACCACTAACCACAAAATGTTTTGAAAATGAGGCTTACTTAATCGAAGGTACCTTTCTTTTTGTTCACGTAAAATTTGTTCGCTTCGTACAACTGATACAACAGTTCTACGTTAATGACCTTTCGTTTGGCAAAAAAGAAAACGCGTTTCAAAAAAACAGGGGAAAAAAAATGCAACCTCGAAAAAAGTCCAAACTTTTTCGTTCGAAAATTTAATCGCGGAGAAAGACAAAGGAAAACGCGGAAGGGGGCAGTTGTTTTCCAACCTTTTAATTTCTAAAAATAAAATGCCCGTCGTTCAAATAAAAACAAACCAGAAATTAAATTTATCGAAAAAAAAATCAACGAAACTTTTACAAATTTTTTTTGCTTTAAATCCAAAAAGCTTTCTTCTAAATACTTTTCTTTAGCAAAAATTCTTGGGGGTCGTGAAAGTAAGACTAGGTCGTAAAAGACTGGGTTTCATTGGTCGCGCTCATGAAAAAAAAAAGGGTTAACGACGTTACTTGACTTCCTCACGGAGTGCAAAAGGGAAACATTTTTTTACGCCCATGGTCACAATTTTGTGCCGTTGAAGGGCGTAAGTGTGTTTCAAAACAGCTTCACCTGGTCGTTTGGCGACCTGCCCGTTAAGGAACGATTAACTCCCGTTTTCGTTGTTGCCCTTAATTGAGGAAATTTGATGGACAACGAAACCCTTCTTACGTTTTAACAAAAGAAAAAAACCTCCTAAAACTGAAGTCCGCAGACG